ATGATGAAAGGGAAATTAGTGAAAATCTCGCACATCGAATTTAAACAAAATCTGTTAGGCCCTTTATGAACGTATGTAAACCAGGCCTTATTATTTACCAACGTGTGAGATGACTGGCATTTCCGCACAGCTTTTGTGGAAGCGCTCCATATATGTGCCTTCAGATATCATCTAAAATATAGGGTAGCGTGCAGACTCGTTGCTAGGTAATGGTCACGAAATGACGGACGTTGCTGGGGAAGCGGATTTTTAATAAACGGTGCCACCCAAACCCATTGCTGGGTGACGCGAACACATTCCTGCGGAAACGGTTAGCATATGAGAATGAACGGTGTTCTCTACGTGGTGCGTGTCAAGGAGTTATCTTCAAGAAAATTTGGGCGACCAAGTCAGTTCTGTACGGAAGTCTGTGAAGAGAGGGCTTCAGCCGGAGACAAAGGAATAACCACTGTTGCAGCCGTTACCAGGAAACGTCTAGTAACAGACTAAAGGCACTAGACTGTGCGCTCTAGTGATTTGTAAAGTGTGGAGAGTAGCGATAGTTCTGTAACTGTTTGTATTTCCGAGTCGTGTGTATAAGTGAACAATAAATCTATTCACCAATCTAAACTCCGTCTGTAGCCACACATACTATCTATCTATGGCTCTACAGTACTCTACTGGACCTTGGCCACTTCTTCAGTTTCTTAATCCTATACACAGTCGGCAGAACACCATCGAAGGGGGATCAGCCCGTCGCAAGGCCGCTACCTATACACAGAACAACAACCCATAATAAACGCACACAGGACATCCATGCTTTAAGTAGGATTCGAACCCACGATCCCAGCGTTCGAGCGAGGGAAGGCAGTTCATGACTTAGACCGGCCGGCTTCTGTGATCGGCAGTCACACATACAACGTGACAATGCATAAAAACGTCAAACAACATCAGAATTCTGTAAATGAAGATGGGAAAGTGGGCCCTAACAACTTGGGCGATATGTAATGAAACCCACATGACAGCAGTCCAACCTGGACAACATTTTCAGTGTCGTTTCTTCTGCATCCAGAATTGACAACAGACAGGCACGTATTATCGTTTTAAAGAGTTAATTTCTCCTTAGAAAGACACAGCTATCCCTGTATGAGGGCGTGGAGGCATCGACAGTCCCACATTTTCTCTAGACAATAGGTTCATAGATGGCGGTGAGCCTTACGCGCCGGCCGCCCTTTTCCCCCTGGTACAGATTTCTGTTAGAGGCTAAGTCGACCACAGGGCCAGAGTGCGGCTGGAAGGATTGGATCAAATAACCTCATCGGGAAACGAAACCACGACCTTCCTGCTCGCAGTGTCTCAACCAAGCTACCGCGTGTCCTTTCCTCCTAAACAGTACACGAAAATAAAATCCGCATCTCACAGAAAACACATTAGGTCACCACTACAAATACGAACCAGTTAATGGTGTTTAGTGGGGGGGGGGGAATAGTCGTTTATTATATGCACCATATGAAACACACAAACACAATGTGTGGGCAGAAGGCACAGTTTTAGAGTGTACTGTAACCACCGGGCCTAAAGAGGTTAAGACACGGGCCCCTGCACAAACCCAGGACTCCCGTCTGCTGACGGCTTACCTTTCTGTTGCTGCAGGTCCCTGCTTTTCACTACACTTAACAGCTTTCTCTACTCGGTGCCTACGCTCCGTGGTTTTTGTGACTTTTTGCGACCATGCTTCTCATTTTCGGTCTTGACACGACGACTATAAATGGCGTATTCCTCTGTGGCCAAATTTTATCTGAAATAATTGCTACTTTCAGGTTACGTAAGGGGGCACGCGGTAGCGTATTTGGTTGAGGTACAAGCCGGAAGGTGGCGGGTTCGAGTCCTAATGAGGGGATTTTTCAATTTACCTAATCCTTCCAGCTGCACTCTGGCCCTGGGGTCGACTCAGCCTCTGACAGAAATCAGTATCAGGAATCTGCCTGGTGTGTAAAGGGCGGCCGGCGCGTAAGCCTGATAACCTTACCGCCATCTGTGAGCCGATTGTCTAGAAGATGTGGGAGCCTCGACGTCTCACAACCCTATGGGTCTCCACGGCCTGTCACAGGGATAGCTTTACCTTTTCTCAGGTTATGTAATATTGAATTACAAATTAAACTACACGTACTTCTAGTTGTTTAAGAAATGACATTAGGAGTCGGGAGAGGCTATGGGCTGGACAGCCGCGGTTCGATTCCTCTCTTCTCCACAGCGACTAGACTGACTCTGGGGCCAATACAGCCTCCTACCCAATGAGTATCGGAAAAATTTTCCTCGGGAGGGTGGTAAAGCGGCAGGGGTGTAAAGCTGACCAGTATGTGGAGCTATTCCCTCAACTACCCCATGTCGTCATGGCACAGTCCTTAACTAATAAAACACAAGAATAACTTTATCTTTATTGCACTACATTATAATTATCACTTTCAGAATACACAATGGCAACATGAATATTTGCTTATAACTGATGAAGGTGAAACAGACTACAGCACATTAAGCGAACACCTGATTGCCAGCATAGGTGGCGGGCTTCACTTCCTGTCGGGCCTTATTGTACGCGGGCACCTTGGCTTTTATTACTCACCAACATGGCTAAACGTCAGAACGGGACTTACAACGTTCAGTGTAAGCCTCCCACGTAGAATATTAAACAAATGTGTTTAATGGTTTCGGTACTAAGACTAGGTCACAGGAAAATAAGTTATGTCGTTTCATATGCATACAAAACGCTTGGAGAAATTAGTTACGTATATTCAGACGTTGAGCATACGGGTCACGAGACCGGTCGATAGGGTATTCGACGTGAAGAAGCATTTCCAAGACGAATTATTTTCCTCATATCTTCATGAACCTCATTTATCTTCGTTCTTGCTCTTTGCAGTAGTAAATTTCTTAAAACATTCCGAAATGATTTATTGTATATAATTATGATTGTTATGACTCTGGCTTCGTGTCATGCCCATATTTTGTAAAAATAGAAACTCCGTGGCTTTAGTCCGCAAACGAACTATACCGACCGAGCGACCGCCGCTTGTCGCCAAAGTTAGTGCCTACTTTAACCGATAGAGGGTGTCGCGTGGTCAGCGCAACGAATCCCCATGGCCGTTAATTTCGGTTTTCTAGACCGGAACCGCTACTTTTCCATTCAAGTAGCTCCTCAGTTATCCTCACGAGGCTGAGTGGACCCCTTCGAGACCCATTACTTCTTAGAAAATCTGGTAGCAAAGGGAATCGAACCCGGGGCCTCTGGATTTGTACTCTGACCAGTAGACCACAGAGGCGGTATTTCTAGACAAATTTCTTTAATGGTTGTAATTATGAATTACGATGTCATAAATTATGAAATTGATATTTTCCCCACAAGGGAGCCGGGATAGCGCAGTCGGTATTGCGACTGGTTACGGACTGGACAGCCCGAGGATCAGAGTTCGAGTCTCTGTAAGGAAAAGATCTGTCTCCTGTCTACGTCGTCCAGGCCGGTTCTGGGGCCCACCCAGCCTCCTATCCAATGGGCTCTTTCCTTGGGGGTAAAGCGGCCGGGGCCAACTAGTCCCGAGGTGAAGGATTTGTGGATCTATAAATCTACTTCCCCATACGTCTTCATGGAGTAGTGCCTAATTAGTTAAGGAAAGAGACAACTTTACCTTCTGCCCCCACAAAATAACATCTGCAGCACATCACCACACTACATTCATACCGCAAAGCCAGGTACAATACACTCGTACCAACTGCGGATTTTTGTAATCATATGCACTGCACGAAGAAACGGTCCCCAGTAAGAACGCGGCAGTAACGCTGGAGATCACGGTACACTAACACTGAATATCTACCAATTTACAGGGCACTTTCCAGCACTAAAAAGCGCAATATAAGATTAAGAGCAGTGCTGTCGAGGAAGAGAGATCAACAGACTCCACAGTCCAGCTGATTAATGTGTGTGACTTAAGTAAAATAAACAAGAAATATACTTATAGAAGCAAAATATGACAAAAATTTGAAAAAGTCTACGTATAATGGGAACTGAGAATCAGGAATTTATTTCCTAACAACCTTCTAATCATTTTCTTTACAAAATGGAACACAACAAAAGTCTGTGTTTTAATTCGAACCGATTCTATTCGCTAGTTCATTACTGAATTCAAACACATGATTTTCCTTTCTGTTTGGAATGTAAATTATGCTGTAAATAGGATGCCCACGAGAAGAGATATCCCCCAGGCGCTCGGTAACAAGTCAGAGCATTTTCTCGGTACCAGTATAACTAAACAGTAAAATGGTCCATAAAAACTTTGCTTTTCAGACACTTCAAGATCTAATACATTCTTAAGAACTCGTACTTATTTCCTTCACCATCGTAACAAAAGTTGCATACAATGTTGAAATGAAACAGGATAACTGACATAAGAACAACAACACAGCTTCACGGGATCAGCAACTTTGGATAATAATTCTGAAACGCGTTAACGTTGCAATGTATGTATACAATATAAACTCTGCATGTGACAAATACCAGAAATGGATAATTTTATTTGTTACCGTTTGAAACTGAATTTAAACTCTGTGCTGTAGGGGTGATTTATAAGAGCAGTACAATCAATATCCCATCAATATTTCATTCTAAAATGTTCATTTCCCATGTCGAACTATAAATAACAATATTATAATCTGTACACGTACAGTCACCGGCAGAATGTATAACCCTCACAACATGCTACGTACATCCCGACTCGTTTCAGATACAATTACAAAAATACACACACAAAATTAAATAAACGTACAACACAGAAAATGGTTATTAAACCTCAGATGCTGTGGCTGTGTTTCAATTACTGCTAAGTATTGCACTTAAATTAGGGCAAACTGTTGCGAAGTGGCTGCAGTAATGGCGTTTGATATTAGACCTGTTATAACATCCCCCTCTGAGAAGATCCACGTGGAACACTGCGTAGAATAAACTTGTTAGAATATAAATTTGTTCTCACCATGTTGCACCCTTCACTCATCACCAGGCACAATCACAGGAAGGCACTTACGTATCATCACAATACAAACTCCACGCCTTGCAATATCTTATTCAACTCACAGGTTCAGCTAGTGACATGTAGACGAACATCACACAGAAAAAAAAACAAAAAACTTGCACTATGGTGGTGGAAGGTGACCTGTTTCACTGTAGAAATGAGATTTAAAAGGTACGAGCCTGTCAGTCACAAGGCTTTTAAACTTGCCTCTGAAAAATATACGTGCACGGTGAGTTAAAACTGAATACAAAACATACAGAGCTATAACCGGTATAACGAGACAAACTCTAATATATTTTCTGAGGTACAAGATAAGGGTTTCCTACCCCTGGGGGCGGCCCACAAAGTGACACAGGCGAGGAGCGAGGTGCGGCAAGACATCGATCCCCCCCGCCCTACACATTCCACCACATCACAAATAGTCCTGCGCTACATTCCCCTCTGAGCTGCTAAAGACTGTTCTAAACAGTCCACTCTCGCAGAAAAATTCTGGCACTACATTTAAAACACGAAAACAGTCACTGAACAATACATTAAAATGTGTATTTACCTGCCAAAACCACGACACGATCTACTCCTCGACCTGCTTTCGTCACTCACTGCTTTACCAAAATGGCGCGCGCGCATGGGCATGGCTTATAGAACTCATCCCCCTTGGTTCCGAAGCTCATGAATTTGATCTCTATTTACAAGGGGTGATGGCGGTGGAGAGCAGGGGAGGGGATGTGCTCTGATACGAGAATGGAATGTGGCAGGACAGCTGATATCTCACATTTTTTACAATAAACATTCTTCTTTCCAAAGACAAATTTATTCATGCGAACAAGTTTCCTCCTTGCTGAAGCAACAACAAGCATGGCTGCGACATCTATGAGCACAAGCCTAAACTAGTAAGCATAATACTCATATGTTAGAGCATAAGTGGAACAACACCTACTTCTTTTCCTTGGCACTACAGCCCGTGGACATAGGACTACCTCCATGAACTTCTCCGAACACCTACCTTTACGTATACATAATTATCATAGTAAACCCAGGTAAAAATGAGCACACCAAAAATATTAGAGCTTCTTCGAACCACATCACACACTTAATTTACTGGAAGAATTTGAGAAGTTATTCAATGCACTACCTTCATGTTACATTTCATGTACCTTCTGTCATTACGAAAAAGGATGTGAAGCCTTCTTGCAGCAAATAGGAGATCGAAACGCGAGACGTGGGGCTATACGCCACTCTAGCACCAAGTTCTGTGCTGTCACCTCCCACCAAGCTGTGGTACGAGTAGGAGCGCACGTTGCCTAGACACCTGCCCCTATATTTGCAGACTAACGTGCAGACTTGCGTGCACGATGGATTGCCGGTACCCAGGCGTTGATTTCCCTATTCAATATGCCCATGATTCATAGCTCCATAACGTGTTTGCTTCAGCAGCGCTGAGAAGCGCGTCTTCTTGCCGTCAGTTTAGCAGTTAATGATTGATAGCCAAGGAGTCTGCATAGCGCCTACAATTTAATCCGGGCATATGAGGGAAGGTTTGTCTTCATTTGCTCAGCCTCACATGGAACAAAATTCTGCTAAATACGTGCTGCATAACTACCACTGTTTTCGGTCAGGGATAAGGCAAACGACTAAAGACAATAATAATCAGGAATGGAATTAAGTTCCAATGTATGAAATGACGTGACTCAGTGTAGAATTATATAAGCTACATTTCTTCGACTATCAACCATGAAAATATATATGGGACTTAATTTACGTAAAATTGACACAAAATCAAACATATTGTCACGTGTAGGGTCGTACGCGCGACGAAAATGAAGGGTTCTAGCTCGGATGGTTGGATTTATTAGCACTTTGGTTACAGCCTCTCTCAATCACACTTAATTACAGGAAACATAGCCCTATCGCTGATTTACACAATTTCCAGTTCACCGTTGCACACGCACTAGGATTCTCTGTCTTCACTAGTCGTCTCCTGGCAACGTATCTCAACACAGAAACTAGCACTTCAGATCACTATGAATTCTTCTTATATCACTTTGTATTCCTTTGTCCTAATCTGTACTCAATTAATCTTCACAGTTCACTAAGGACATGCTCCATTCTCGTCCTTGTACCCTCAAGTGCTCCTAGCTTCTGAGTTCACTTCTCTTATAAGCACTTTGCACAGACCCCATGGAAAATAGTCTGTATTTTTGATGACGTCACCGTGTTCAATTACCACGGTCCGATATTCGGAAATTTGTTTACCGAGCATTTTCATAGAAACAGATTGCACAACCCCGTTCTATTGTTGCGTGCATGTTTGGCGGGGTCTTTAACGAGCAGTTGTCTAGCAATGCGTTGATCATATCCATTAAAATATACAAACATTACGTCACATTAAACAAGAAAGTTAAAACAATGGAAAAAGACACAAAGAAACGGAAATATCAATAAAATAGACCGAAGCATTTTTTTTTGCCAGAATGTATGCAACACGTCTCAAAATGACCTCCACTAAAAATGAATAGTATTGCTTGAGGAGGATAGTAAATGAAACGTGATTCTAAATTATTGTCGGGGTTTCCGTGGCCTATAAATTCTAATCGGAAAAAATTAATCAAAAATGCTTAAAACAATATGAAAGTGTAACTCAGAAAGTTTTATTTGGCAACGGTGTTGATGTCTGAGACAGAATATGCCGTCATACTTCAAGATGACGACTGTTCAAGAGAAAGCAATGTGCATACAAGTACTTTGGTACGCAACGTCATTACAGAACTCAATATGGAAAAGACCCGCCTTCAGATAATGCTACCCAGAGACCGGTAAAGTTGTGAGGCGAAAGGAGTGGGAAGACCGAGCACTTGGAGAACACTTGATAGGAAATTGAATACCGCTTGGACATGTCACGTGCCACGAAAGGCGCGCATGTTGAAGTTGTGCAGCATTCTGTAGTATTGATTCTATAAGTAATAACACTTTTTGTATTTTACTTTCATATTCCATACACAGTTTTATTTTGTTATTTCCGGTTTGAAAATTATAGGCCATGGAAAACCCAACAATAATTTAGAATCATCCTGCATAACATAGAAGCATCATCAGTCACAAATATGAGAAGCTTAATACTTGAAACTGAAAGTACTTTAGGACAAACATAATCTAACAAAAGATAGTATGAATCTTACGGCAAACAACATACATAATTTACTTTCTGAACACAACACACCAGCAACCTATACAAACAACGAAAATTAATTAGACAAATCAAACACAAAACGATTGGTAATAACTTAATAACAGTAGAAGCTAATGAGAGGAAAATAAAGTTCAATTCAATTATTTATTTACTTGCTTATCCAGCAGCCCAAAGACAAATTATAAAGTGGGCACGAGTAAAGTGACAAACCAAATAAAAAGAACACACAGACACACACAAACAATGATAAAACAAGGCAAAGTGTATCCCTGAGGCATAACCAATTCGTGCAGTAATGCCAACCATGATGTGATGAGAGTAAAATATAATATAAATTTATGCATGTATATATACACCTATATACATACGTAAACTAATACTGAGTAGAAGTAATATTTTTGGGGCACGCGGTAGAGTGGTAGAGTAGTTGGTTGAGACACTATACTGCAAGCCGGGAGGTCGCGGGTTCGATTCCCGACGAGGATATTGAATTCATGACCCGCACTATGACTCTGAGGTCGACCCAGCCTCTAACAGAAAGGAGTACCAGGAATCAGGGCGGCCGGCGCGTAAGGCTGACATCACCGCCATCTGTGAACCGACTGTCTGCCAAATGTGGGAGCCTCGACGTCTCACAACCATATGGGCCTCAACGGCCTGTTACAGGGACAGCTTTGTCTTTTCTTATTACTGAGTGCAATTCTAAATCAAAACGGCTATTAATACAAACAAGAATTATACAAATCAAACAAAATAAACTGCAACAAATAAATCAATATACATCATCACACAGCTTAAAATTTTCTAGAAATTTCTGTAACAACCAATAACACATAATCTACAAAACAGGATAAATAGTTACTATGCTAGCTACGTAAATAACATTTTTATTGTACATACAAACAAAATTACATATGGAATAATAGCAAATAATTTCAATAAACAACACAACACACAACCACAGAAGAAAATAACAATCAAATATCAAACCTACAACTGAACCTAACAAATACGCGACAACTCATGCTGTCTAGTTACAGCTTACAACGAAGCAACCTCAGCAGTTGTCTGACTGACTGCAACTCAATTTCAAACCGACGGTCAGTCGGCCAGTCTATCTTCGTGTCAAGCACCCATCTGGGGCCCAAGACCATATACTGTATTTATTAGTCAGACAGGTGCGGGTTTGTTGATGTGGGGCGCCCTCTCTGAAGAGAGGATGGGTCCTTAGTTTACAATTCCTGCTGGTCCTCGCCAGCTTAGTCATTCCCGGGTCCGAGTCCCGTGGGACTCATAACCACATTTTACTATCTCACATTCGGGACTCCCCAACCTGGAGGGATAGGTCCCGTATTTATATCCCCCAGGAAAAGGGTGGCCCGGCTCTAACCCCAGGCACTGAGTTTCCTTTCCATTGCGTCCTACGACTTGCAGGGCTACGGTGGAGGTATTCGAACCTGCCTCCACGCGAGTCAAAGTCACATTGCGACTAACGGTCAGTCAGTCAATCAGTTAAGCCCAATCTGGAGTACATAGCCAGATATTTATTACTGTTTGATTTTTACGGTCTTGTTACTGTGGAGTGCCCTCGTTGACGAGAGGACGGGTCTGTCTTTTGTCAGAGTCACTGTCTGTAGTAGTAAGTCATTTGTCATGATGTAAAGGATATTTATATTTTACATGTTAAACATGTTAATAAATGTATATAAAATGTATACAGGACCTCTGTCAGTCCAGGCTCAGCACCGGAGATTATGCTCTATTATTAGTAGCTTCAGCTACAACGGCAGTCTAGTCACTTGAACGGTCGTATGCTTGATCGCCGCCAAGTTTAAGCCTCTTATACTTTCTATGTCAGGCTTCGCCTTGTCCAATATTGCGAACATTTTCGTTACCATGATTCTGTATGACTTCTGCGCGGTGTCTGCATAATATAGGTCTCAAGTCAAAATCAAAGTCATATTGCGACTGAAGGCCAGTCAGTCAGTCAGTAAGTCTTGGTGACGAGCCCCGAAGGTCAGTCAGTCAGTAAGTCTTGGTGTCGAGCCCCATCTTGGGATAATGACAAGATATTTAATCACGAAAAATGAATACACTTCATAGAAATTGTATATTTATCATAACATTTATTGATAT